TAATGATAATGGGGTCAATTTATCAATAGGACAATAATAATGTTTATGCAACATAAAAAAGTTTCAAAAATATATGAAACAAACTTATACAACTGCATGGAAAAATTTAAAACCCACAGTTACAATCAAGAGATTTCAGGATCTCTCATGCAACAATGAACTCAAAATGATAATGCTGAGTAAAAAAGCCAGACTACCCCCCCAAAAACCATAAACGGTCTAATTCCAAGTATATACAGTCTATAAGATGCAAACTAATCTATAGCCACAGAAAACATATCAATAGTTCTTTAAGAATGGGGGGTAGTTGTGGGAAAGAACTGAGGACTGGTTACAGAAGGGCACAGGGAACTTTGGGGCATGACAGCTAAGTTTAATACCTTGAGTGTCATGATGACTTTAAGAGTACAGTAAGTCCTCACTTAATATTGTTGATATTAAGTTTCTTGGAAACTGTGGCCTAAGCAAAATGGTATATAACAAAAGCAGATTCTTGAATAAAGTCATTTCTGCCAGCAGCAGCCAGGATAATGTTTTCCTCAGGTAAAACAACTTTATTCAAGGACCTGTTGTATACATATATCAAAACATGTGAAACTAAACACTTTAAAATGTGGTTTGTTGTCGATTATATCTCAATAAAACTTGTAGGGTAAATGAAAATTATCAGGATTTTCTGCCCTCCCGCCATTAGCATTAATGATAGACCCCTGTGGTCCTACATGCAGGCTCGATGGCAGACACCTGGAGTAGGATGTGGGCCTGCATAGGTGGGCGCACCTGGGCTGAGACTGGGCATATAAGGGTGGCATCATGGGGACACCAGGAAAAACAGCAACGCCAGCAGAAGCAGCAGCAGAGAGCAGAGAAGAGCCCACGAGAGAACACTAGAGAGGTCGGAAAGAGTGAAGACGCGCCGGGGAAGCCTGCCAGCCTCCTGGTCCCCCAACTCCCTGCCTGCCGTGTGAAAAGCTCAATAAAGCCTGAAAAGCCACCGACAGCTCCAGGACTCTCCTTTACCTGTCTGCCGGATCATAAAGAACCTGCTCTGCACTTTCCTGGCACTACAAAGCTGTTTGATGTGTATGTGATATAATGCATCAGTCACCAGGTATGCTCCAGTCCTAGTGATAAACATTTAAAAAAAGATGAACACAGGACAGACACCAAATGTCACAAATGTAATTACAAAGTCTATAAAGTATTAGCTACTGTAGCAAAGTATAGTACAGATGATATCTCATAGATTCTAGCTAGGTAGTCAATAAAGGAATCTCTCAGGAAGGAACATGCAGTCAAGATGAAAGTAGAATGAGTTAGCTCCATCAAATATAGGAGAAAATACACACAAAGATACATAGTAAATGATGATTCTAGGGTGGGGGGAGTCTGTAAGACGAAGGTCCAGATATGTAACTGCTGCATCAAAGGGCAATTTATAGAAGAAATATTATTTAGGTTTTTGAAATTGAAAAAGGTAGACATTTGCTATTTAAGTAAGGGGGAATTTTTGATAACATTATTAAGACAGCATCCTAAGCTCTTTAAGTCCAAAAATCACATTTTCACCCTCATAACTTAAATGCAGAGCTTTTGGCAAAATTTAAATCTCTACTTAGTAAAGTAAGAAAGAGGCAAATATATGACAGCTGAGCTGTTAAGACTCACAACAATGTTACCCGCTAACGGTTTGTTGAATATAAACTCCTTGGGTTCGCAGAAAAGAAATCAAATTGTCAGGAAAAGCTTCTCAATCATACCTTATTGCAGGGCCAACCAAGTGCAGGGTGGGCAGAGCCAGGAGGCTGGCAAGCCCCCAGCCTCCAGTCCAATATGCATGCTTTCTCTCCTTCTCACAGTGGTGATGCCACACCCCTATGTGATGCCACCCTTATATCCTCAGCCTCCAGGCTCATGTGTGCACACTTACACATGCCCACATCATACTGCAGGTGTCACAATCAAGCATGTGTATCCCAAACCCATTCTCCCAAGCCCCATCTGCATTCAAGGCTGCAGGTGACAGCCACAGTAGCTAGTGGCGTAAAAGCCTGACCAATTCACTTACTCTACACTTACCATCTCTACAAATGATAGTTTTTAAAAGAACTAACCTCTTCTTCATCATTCTCAAATAATACTTAATGAAAAGCCTTTCTGTGAACTATTGGAGAAAGCTCCAACTATCCAGTAGTCTCCATTCCTCTCACCTTCTAAACTCATCTTTCGAACCTTCACAGATCTAAGCATCTCATCCGCAAATCTGTCCTATTTCCTATTTCTCTTCTATATTTAAAACTCTTAAATGACACCTCATCACTTCCAATTATACACCCCAAACACAGAATGTAAGACCAAAACTGGTGAAATGACAAAAGGACAATCTAGTGATGTCAATAAAAGTTTATTCAATTTTTAATATATTCAATTTAAAGAATTATGGGATTTCATTTCCTACTTTTTTGGTGTTAAAATATACTTTGTCTATGAAATAATTAATGAGTGCATGATAGCTTTAAGAAACATCTCCACTTTGCAAATTTAAAATGTGGCAAATCTATGACAGCTGAGTTTTACTTTTTTTTGTAATGGCTAATGAAAAAAGTCTGGGAAACTCTGACCTACAAGATAAAATTCAGAAGAGAAACTGCTCACACCTCTCTTAGTCCTCTTTCACTTTCCCAAGAGATTTTTTTGCTCCAATGTCCTACATACATCAACTAATTCTTTCCCTATATTCGTGATTTTCCATAAAAGCAATAATCTCAACTCCTTTTCTTCTTCATTCACGCCATCTAGTACCTACTATGTCAAGCCCTTAGAATAGAGTAGTAACCAAAAGAGATACAAATTGTCTTCTTGGAGCTCACAGTCTACTGAAGGAAACAAACATAAAAAACAAAAACAGGGCCTCCCTGGTGGTGCAAGGGGTTAAGATGCAACCTATGAAGCTGCAAGCTATGAAGCTGTCCCCAGCCGCTGCAGCAGAGTTCGATCCCCATCCAGGGAGCTACCCACATGGCGCAGCAGACCTCTCCTGACTCGCCTATTGCTCCCCTCAGCAATGTATTTCAGTCACTCTGCCTATTCTGTTCCCCACTCTGTCTCTGGTGAATCCTCTTACCCCGTCCCCCCCACACACACACCTCTGGCCTGTACCCCAGTTCCTGTATGCATAAATAAATCTTTTCAAAAAAAAAAAAAAAAACAAAACAACAAAAAACCCAGAATTGAAAGCTATCATAGGGCTGCCTTGCAGAGACTGCAATCCAAAAGTGACAGCAGGGAGACTAGTCAGAAAGTTACTATAGTTCAAGCAAAAAATAACTCTGACTAAGACAAGGTTGGAAGCACTCAGAAGACAAAATCTTGAGTTGGGTGGATTTACTGACATTGAATAGAAAACTAAAAGAGATGAAATATTCCATGACTCCATAAGAAGCTACCACGTAAACTTACACTAATATCCCAATTTTTTATGCCACCCTGGATCTAAGCAGTTACAGGAAGTGCATACTAAAGGGCATTGATCCAGGTTGGCTTAAAAAGAGACTATTAATGCAAGCCTATATAGTTGCCTATGGCCAATGACATTAAACTCACTCCAAGCAGTACCTTATGCATTGCAACTTTTTTCTTGGAATAAGCCTGATTTAGTCTGCTGAGGGATGAGAGGTGACATGGAAGAAAATCAAGCAGAGACCACATGAAACAGCCTTAAATCAGTGGACAGAGAATGCCCCAAACATATGAAGAATTCCAGCCAAGATGGGCAGAACCACTAGCATGTCCATAACTGAACTAAGATGCACAAATCAGCCCATGTCCTACCTGAACTGCAGACCTATGAACAACAGTAACTGCTTACTTTTTTGAGCCACTGAATTCTGTGGTGGACTTTTAATGCATAAATTAAACACAGTGGTACCATTCACTGACATGGAAAGAGAGCAGGAAAGAGCAGACAAGAAAAATCAAGCTTATTTTATCTCACCATGGTCAACTCTTACTTATCCTTCAAAGAACTACTTAGGTATCAACTCTTCCAAGAAGTTTTCCCAGAACACGCAGGCAGGTTGGGAAAGATAGGTAAGTCCTTGATGTTTTGTCCTCATCAAAGTCACTGCCTTACCACATCATTTTATAATGATCTGTTTACACTTTTCTTCCCAAACAGACAGCAGTGCTTTCACTGTGTCTCACTCAGCTTGGTATTTATTATCAGTATGTAACATAAAACAAGCTCTTGATAGATATTTCCGAATTTTATAAATGAGTCATTAAGCCTGATACTATAAAGTCTCTAGGCCAATCAACGATTACAGATCTAGATCAGTATTTCTCAAAGCGTGATCCAGTGACCACATACATGCATCTTAATCAGCAGCTTGAGTGTTTAAAATGCAAATCCCTAGGTTCTTCATTATCGAAAATGCCATTCTTCACATGGTAAAAACAAGCATGACTATTCTTTCCAGCTCCAGCTCAAACAAGCAGCAGAAGCGTGGGTATTAAACCAACTTCCCCTCAAAATATTCTAGAGATGATCAATATCAGAGAGTCGTTAGTCTGATAGCACCGGGTAACTGAAAATACTCTGAACTGCCATGGGGTTTCATCTAGAGGAACCAGGAACTGGGGATCCTCCAAGGTATGCTTTCCCACAGCACACGTTGAGAGGATGCTCCAGGTTTCTCCACAGCAGGGGCCAAGCCAGGGGCCGGCAGGCGGCCGGAGCCTTGACAGCAACCGCGTGCTGGAGCCCCGAGCCCCAAAGGCCGTGCAAAGGGTCGATCCAGGGTCCCACGAAGGCGGCTCTCACGGGGTTCCGGGGTAGTGTCCTCCTCCAAAGGCGGCCACCCTGAGTCCACCCCAGCCCGATGTGCCTTAAGAAGGCCACGATCGCCTCGCCTGCCCGAGTCGGAAAGGAAGTAAATTCGGGCGATAGCAGCAGCGAAGTAAAAGCAACGGGGTATAAAGGGGGCGCCGCCGCTTCCCACCTGCATCAAGCTCCAGCTGGTAACAGGGCAGCGGCTCTAAGGAGAGCTTGTAACCCTCGAATCGGGGATCCAACAGCGGTCTCTTCACTCGGAGGGAGCAATTAGCAGCCACCTCCATGGCTCTCCAGGGTCCCAGCGTGGAAATTAATAAAGCTCTTGTTGAAAGGTCCGCGCTTCCCTCGTAGCACCCAGGCTGGGAGGCGGCGTGGTTCCCATCCCAGAAAACACTGCGGGACAAAATGCCTTCTGGGAAGTGTAGTACCCGTGAGAACGCTGACTGCTGCATGCTGGGCCACGTAGTTTTCTGGGCCCCTAGCGCCCAAGACCACAGCGCTGTCTGGACTCTCTTACCCAGAAGGCCGAGCAACCAGGAGGCGGCCCGCGCTGGTTAAATTCTCACATTATAGGCAGGGAGGCGAGACCCCGCCCCGGAAATGCGTGTTCTAGCTTTCTGTGTGCTTAGGTGCCCGAGCTACTGAGGGTCTAAGTCTGGGCAGCCGAAGAGTGTGGTAGGTAACGGTCGCCAGCGCAAGGGTCATTTCGTCGCTGGGAAGGGACGGCCCTCGCCCGCGGTGATGGTGGTGAGCTATGCCCGTGGTCCTTAGGGCCGGGACCCGGGCCCAGCCCAGGCTCCTTTCGATGTGCTGTCTTTCCTTAGCTTCCCCGACCCGCGCTCGCGGGCCTGTAGGGCGCTCCGGCTGGGCGTGCTACCGGAGTTGGCCCGAAGCCAGTCCTCGCTTTGTTTTCTGGCTCCTCCCCTCCCGCCTCTCCCGCTGTCTCCGCCCTATTCTATTTTCCCAAAGAATGTCTGAACTGGGAGGCATCCCTTAGCGTCCTTCTTTTAACAGTGAGAAAACTGAGGCCTTTAAAAATTAAGTGACTTGTCCAAGGTCACTATCCATATTTGAGGGGCCAAGGCGAAATCATATTCCGTATTCCAGGACTGGTGCTGACTGGACCTCAGCATTATTTTGAAAGTGTTAGCCGCCAACTGCAAAAGCAGACATTTCCCAGAGGTTTGCCCGGCCCCTTCTTGACGCTGTTCACCTCAAGAAAATAAAAACAAAAACAGAAATCAACTGTGAAAACTCCTTGGCAAGTCTTGAGTTTTCATATAGGCGAGATGGGAGACGACAAAAGTAGGATCAAGTTAGTGACAGGTTAGGTGGGGGGTAACTTTGGCTTAGTCCAAATTTTACAACTTAGCCTTTCTCTCCTTTTTTTACAGCATCTTCTCAAAAAAAAAAAAAAATCAACTATGAAAACTCCTTTGCAAGTCGCGTTTTCATGTAGGCGAGATGGCATACAGCATCTTTGTTTGGCTTCTCTGTTTTTACTGAAAATTGAGATTCTCTAAATGAGGAGAATGAGTTTCAGATTTTCTTTTCACTGTATCCCCAGCAAACTTTGGTCCAAAGCATCTTGGTACTTCACTGCTAGTTTGGCAGTTGTGATTCTGGGTACATCCTCAGTGAAAAGTCAGCACTTCAAACTTACCAGGAAATCTCATTCTTTTATTGATAGGTTGTTTTGAGTGCAGTGAAGGTGCAGAAATGTTTAGCAGTCAGTTATGTGCAATTACAGTGTTCAGGGGTTCTCAGTTAAAGTACCTGAGTTCAGATCCTGCCTTCTCCCCTCTATATCTCTGTGCCTCAGTTTCCTCATCTGTAAAATGCAAATGACGTTAATACTTACAAGAATAAATTCTGGGAATTAGATGTGATAAAAACCCAATAAGTTAGCCCAATACCAAGCACATATGTTTTTAATAAGTGTTACATTAGTTACTGCTGTCCAGAGACTTGTTAACAAAGAGGATATGGGGGAAGAAAATTATATAAAGTGAGTTCATCAGTATGACTTCTTGAGATACAGTAAATAAGATTAAGAGTAATGAAATTCATAACACATTGTTGAAATTTATTACCTTTCAGTTGGTAGACAGAATGTTAAATGTGTTGGTATGTTTGCCTAGAGGATTTAGAAGAAAATGCTTTGTAAGTGTTCCGTATCTGAAAATACATGTTGATGTTCAGGTTAGCAAGATGAACAAAGATGCGCAGATGAGAGCAGCGATTAACCAAAAGTTGATAGAAACTGGAGAAAGAGAACGGTAAGTAATAGATTATGTTAATAGATTTGACATCTATACATTATAGTTGCACTATAAGAATCAAAATGTCAAGGAACAAAACTGATGTCAGTGGAAAGAATTACAGTAAACTGAGATTATCAAAAGTTTCGTTTTTCTAACATCTATAAGCAGGTATGTTCATTATTGCAAGTCTTTGAGGGAAATGAATGATGTAGAAATATGAAAATGACTCAAAGAATTATAATCTGCATGGAAATAACTGCAGTTGAAGACATACATAACATTACACAGGTTTTAACAGAGAAACAGTATGATGGAGCCAGTTTCAGCTTTTAACCTTGGAGCAATATGTGTTGTTCTGTTATCAAACATTCTTCTTCCTTCCCCTCATCTTATTCTCTCATCTTTTCAGATTTTAATTTAAATACCATATCTTCTAGGACTCTATTAAGTCCCCAATACTTTGTTCTGTCCTAACATTCTGTTACACTGTAACCACCTCCTTTTTAGTTTCTATCCTCCAAATTAATCTAAATTTCTTGGCAGCAGAAATGTCATTGTATACCCAGCATTGTGCCTAGCACATGACTGACCAACTGCGTATTTGAGAATGAACAGGCTTAGAAGTACAGAGAAAAGCTTAGAAACCAAGAATGCTTCCAGGAGCAGGGTGATAAGTTGTGTAAGAGAAGTATATATAAGGAACAGGATGGCTCTTTCATCTTTACGTAGGGATTAAGATGATCACAGTTAAAATCTCACCGAATAGTAAAAAAGGTACTTCAGCTGGGAAAGATTTGTAATTCTGCAAACCAGTAGAGAGGGCAATCTAGGTAAATTTAACAGAATGTGCAAAATCACAGAGATATGTTGCAACATGATAATATTCAGAGGAACTATAAAATGAAAACTAGAAGGTAAACTGTTAACACATGCATAAGAGGACTGTGGATTTTGTGTAAGTCAGAATTCTATCCATTGAAAGTGTTAAAAACTGGACCTCCCTGGTGGTGCAGGGGTTAAAATCTCAGTGCTATCAAGCTATCACTAGCCGCTGCAGCATGATCCCGGCCAGGGAGCTACCCACAGGGTGCAGCAGCCTCTCCTGTCTTGCCCACTGCTCCCCTCAGCAGTGTCTTTCAGTAGATCCGCCTGTTCTGCTCCCCACTCTGTCTCTGGTGAAGCCTCTCACCCCCCTGCACCACTGGCCTATACCCCAGCTCTTGTATGCATAAATAAATAAAATAAATCTTTTTTAAAAGAAAAGAATATGTTAAAAAACTGAACTCAGGGCCTCCCCTGGTGGTACAGTGGTTGAGCGCTGGGCTGTGAAGCTGGCCGCAGCCTCTGCAGCGCCGATTCGATCCCCGGCTGCTAGGTGAGGGTCCCACATGGCGCACAGACCTTTCCTGTGTAGCCCTCTGTCCCCTCAGCAGTGTATTTCGTCAGTCTGCCTGCTCTGCTATCCCCTCTGGCTCTGGTGAATTCTCTCATCCTCCTGCACTTCTCACTGTTACCAGTGCTTGTATAAATAAATAAATAAATCTTAAAAAAAAAAAAAAACAAAAAACTGAACTCAAACTGGCTTAACCAGTGCAAATACATAAACTTATCTAACTAAAAAATCTGGAGTTTGAAGTTGCTTCAGGCACCACTGGATTCAGGCTATCAAATTGTTTTCAAGAATATGTCTTTTCTTTCTGCCCTGTTTTCTCCCCTGTTGGCTTTATTCTCAGACATGATCTACCCAACTCTGTGGCAGAGGTTAGCATTTCAAAATTTACTACATTCTGCCTAGTAGTTTCAAAAAGCCACCTAACTCGCTTCTACTTGGGTAATATACCAATTATCCACCAGCTTTGCTTAGGTCACATATCTGCCTAGATCCCTATCTAGATTTCTTATACTGAGAGTGGTAGAGTGGTTTTCTTGGTGGTGGTGGTTTTTCTTTCTGTCAAAGAAGGGGCAGGAAAATGAGTGGTGGGTTTGGAAAAACTTGCGTTGTTGTTTTTATCCTTGGGTGGTAGGGGTCACAACAAATTTTAAGAAAGGGAATGACTTGATCACGTTTGCATTTTAGGAGTGTTGTTCCAACAGTGTGGAGGGTAGATTTGTAGGACTAGAGATAGATTATAGAAGAATGTGTTAGAAGATTATATCAGGTGAAAAAATGAAAAACAGCAAAATTGGAAAGGAGAATTTAGAATTTTTTTTAAAAAATTAAAGCAGCCCTCAATACAGGAATGGGAAAGAAAAGACATCTAGAACAATGCTGTATGAAACTGAGAAGATAGCAGTGCCAGCAATGAGTATACATGATTATATTTCATTTGTTTGTGTTTTCAAACACATGCAGCTTAAAGCTAGAGTTTCTGCTATATGTCATGTCTTGTTAAGGTGCTAGAGATACAGTGGTGTACAAAATGAAGGCTATTTTTCATTGGAGCTTACATTCTACTGGACAGAAACAGACAATAATTGTATAACATGTCAGATGGTGATGAGCTCTAGAGGAAAAATAACACAAATAAAGAAGTGGGTTATTTTGGATAGGGAAAAAAGCAAACACAAAAGGCTTCACTAATAGGAGATCAGAAAAAATATGAGGGAGTGGGAGGAACACTCTTAAGAACCAAAGTCCTAAGACAGGAATTTGCCTGTCATTTTTGAGGCGCTCATGGACGCTAATAATACTAAGTCAGTTGGAGGAGAGAAGTGATAAACACAGGGGTATACCTGAGAAGGGGCAGATCATAAAGGGTCATTTAGGCTACAACACCTGGGATCTCATTCTGCATAAAAGTCACTGACGGGTTTTGAGCAGTGGGAGGAAAAAATATACAAAGGAAGAAGCAGGGGGACAAACTACAGACTTTGGTAACTGTCTGTTCAGGATGAGATGGTGACTTGAACAGGGTATATATGGCAGAGAAAGTGAAAAACATCAGGATTTTAGGTATATATTTTAAAAATGGAGCAAATAGGATTTGCTCTTGGATTGAATGTGTAGTGTTAACAAAATTGTTGGGGAAGGACACTGCCTGAATCAGAAAGAACGGCGGAGTTACCATTCTGACTCGGACAGCATGATAACATGGGAAAGAAGCCAGAGTTAGGTTTTCGCCCTTTTAAATGAAAGGACCCAATTAAAAATCAAGGATGGAAATGCTTTCATGTAGGTGTCTAAGAATTTTGAAAGAATTGTTTGGGATGTGACATGTTTAACCAGAGAAATTTAGATAATTTAGGTTGCAAATTGAGGATTTTTAAGAGTGGATATGGGAAAAAAAGTGCTACTAAGAAAAATGATATGTTTTGTCACACCCATAACGCCATCAATTGCAATACACACCATTATTTTTTTCCTAGTAAGAAGAAAACATTGCCAACTAAGTTATGTAGACATGCCTGTTACTAATTGTTAAAATGTGGGAAATAGCCATCTTAGAATCAAATACCATAGTTACTGTATAATCATTGTATAATTACTATGTATGTCTAGTATAAGAAATACCATAGTTAATGTATAATTTAGAACGTAAATGGGAAGAGAGGGGGACGTCTATGACATTTGACAGATGATATGAAGGAAGAGAAACCAAATTTTGACCATAAGAATTTGTATTCAAAAGAATGGATTTTTGTGTTTGAAGAAGTACAGCTGCTCTAAGCCCAACTAATACCCTCTAGAAGTTCTACAAGACCCATAAAAAATGGTGGAGAGAATTAGGAAGTGTACTCAAAAGTCGTAACTTAACTCAAGAAGTATTGTGTCCCACCTACTTCGTTTAATTTTAGTGATGATGAAAATGAGGCCCAGAGTTTAAATGACTTGCATGTGAGGTCACAGAACGACTTAGTGATCGAACCAAGATTAGACCATGGGTGAATTAGGGTTTGGTGACAGGAAGGCAGGAGGTTTTTAGTTGAACGATTGAACCTTTGCTTCAAACATTCTTATCTAAAGTATTGTACATCATTGTAGTTTAATTCAAAAATACTTCTTCTTTCAACAGCCTCAAAGAGTTGCTGAGAGCTAAATTAATTGAATGTGGCTGGAAAGATCAATTGAAAGCACACTGTAAAGGTAATCAGTTTCTTTTAGAAGATAAGCTAATTCCATTGCTCTCAACTGTGTTGGAATTCACTAGAAAAATTAGTATTTTAAGATAAAGTGAGCATAATTTTAAACAAATAAGTAATTGAATTTTGTGTAATGATTTCTTCCTTAACAATATATAGACCTAATCCCTACTTTTTCCGTATGTATCTCTTAAGTCAGACAAGTCTTTAGATCAAAAATACGGAATCCCACCTTTTTTTAGTGTTTCTGCTCAAAGTTAAGTATCAGTTATTTCTAATACATTTTAACTTAACAAATTGAGCACTTTATGGTTGACAGACTTTTAGGAAATATATCTACGGTCTTTAACTGTTATTTTTAAAAGCTCATCCATAAAAGTATAATTAGAGAATTATACTTAATTTTTAGAATGCAGAATGGAAGTTGTTAAATTGCTGGGTATTATTGATTATGCATGTTACCAAGATTAGTCTCCTTATTTTGTAGCTCAACTTTTGTTATGATGGAATGCTGGATATTTTTAGTGAGTTCAGTTGTATTACAGGTTTCTATAAATAATCATGATAATAGAAACTGTAACATAAACCCTGAGAAGACAGTGTGGCAAACTAGTGACAGCATAACTTCGCAGGCATATGGCTCTCCACTGGTAAAACATTAGAGCTGGGTTTCAGCTTGTTTGGTTGAGTTATTTCTCATCAGGCCTCATTTGCCTCACCTGTGAAGTGTGACAGAAGCCCAGCCTGGTAAATTGTTATGGTGCAGAACACCCAGCACATAATAGACGTCCAGAAAATTTTAACTACTTTCCCTCTTCTAGTCCTTTTGGCTCAACCTAGAGAAGATAAAGGAGCAAAGGAATTGTATATTTTAATTTTGGACTATGAAATTACAGGATAGTCTCAAATGACAGATTTTTCCCCCTCAATATGTTCAAGAGATGGTAGGATTATAATGAAATAAGACATCGGGTACAAATTTCCAGCTTTTTGCAGATGTTAGATTTGAACTTTCAGTCAGATTCATTCTAAGTGTTTCAATTATTTGTTAATTTATAGGTTATTTATCTGAGAGAAAAATAGGCTTTTATGTTTTTGATCTGATGAATACTTAATGTGTTTAAGGTTGAATTTAAATCTTCATTAGAAAAGAAAAAAGAAGTGTCCTCTTAAAAAAAAAAAAAAAACCAGTCTGTACTCTAAAAACATGATCTTAACCCTTCCTCTATGAAAATCTTTCTTACAGATAATGATTTTAAATGATATGATTTGTTTTTTGCTTTTGCATAAGAGGTAATTAAAGAAAAAGGACTAGAACACGTTACTGTTGATGACTTGGTGGCTGAAATCACACCAAAAGGCAGAGGTAAGGAATAGATTGTGTGCAAGGAAATGTGTATTAAAGACATGATTTTTTTTTTTCCGCTTGCTGTTCAGCTTTCTGTCTTTTTACAAGGAAAAACACCTTTCCAGAATTATTTGGGTACTTGGATTTCCTCGTTGAGAAGAGTTGTAATTGTTTATATCCCTCTATAGCACGCTCTTGAGTTATAAATGAGACGAGTCATAAATGTTCTTGCCCTCTAAAACAACATGCAAATGTAAATTTATATGGTTATTAAGACAGATAATTTTTAAAATACAGGATTTTGTAAAGGCAAATATTACTGAAGCTAGGATTTTAAACTTTAATCAGATTTGGCCCGACTGCTCTTAAATATTTAATAGTTTGGCGTTTTACTCCAGTTACTGAGTCATTGCTTTGCTTTCTTTTTCCTTGTTAAAAAATAAACAAAACTCTGTCTTCTTGAATGTCTTAAGAATGTGGTAACTCCATAACCTCATGTTCTGCATTATCCATATTTAAGACTCACTACAACCACCTTCATATCTCCATTTAATGTCTGGTTTACAGAAGGTACTGGGAAGAGGGGAAAACATTGATGATATGTAATAAATATTTGTCAGGAATTGCATTATATTGTTACATCAGATATAACTGCATTATTTTCATTTATTTTGAGAAACTTTTTGTAGTTGTCAGTGAGTGTAGATAAATTAGATGACCCTCTAGTTGTTTTCTTACAAAGAAATAGTAAAAAGAACTTTAAGTATTAAAAGTAAGTAACTTTGAAGATTATTTCTAGAGAATACTATTTCCCTGAACTACTGCCTGCTGGGAAGGAGCTTTCCAACCATCTCTTTTGGCCTGTGTATAACTGAAAATATGACCCTTTTTTTCAAGGATGTCTTAAGGGGAAAAATGATATTTTGTGTGTGTTTGTGTCTCTCCACCACCCCCCACGAATTTATAATTCAAATAATTTTTTCTAATTTTTTCTGGTTTTGTTCTGTGATTTATGCTTAATCTAGTAACATTTAGGAATTTGTTATACAGGGTAGAATTTGTCTTTGCTTATCCTTCAATACTTATATCTTGCACATTTCAATCCCTTATAGCTCCCTTGCCAGAAAAGGAGCAAATGAAGAAAAAAGAAGTGAAAATAAATTTTTTTGTTCGTGTTTTCAGTCATCTTTTTATTGTTAAAAGAAGAAGTTTGGTTTTTTTTTTTAACATAAAGTATAATTGGCATTTTTCCCCTTGAGTGTGTAGCCCTGTGATTTTATCTACATGTATAGATTCATGTAATCAACAGTACTCCCCCAAATTTCTCCATGCTATCCCTTTGTAGCCACACTATCCCTAACTGATTTGTTCCCAGTCACCATAATTTTGATGATTTGTGTACTTCTTTATAGAATTCTTTATGGATTTATTAAGATAAATCTGAAATTTCCTGTTTTCTCTGAATATTAGCAAATAACATTAGAAGCTTGCATTAGTTCTCTATTAATAGTCACAAAAGGAAAAACAATGGTGTAGATTTGTTTGTTGACATTTATAACTAAAATTCCAAGGAGCAGGGGTTTTGTTTTTGTTTCTGTTTTCATTTTTATCTGATTAGATAATAGTTACATGGTTCAAAATTCAAAAAGTATAAAATAGCAAATATTAGCACTGTAGCAGTTTTTGTATCTGTGTTGAGTCACACAGTTTGCACATGTATTCCAATTATATGAAATTACTTTCCCAGTGATGTACCAGTTTATATCCTTATCAGCTTCTGTGAGTGCTAGTTTTCTGTCTTGCCAACACAGTATATCACTGACCTTTGCGTTTTAGCCACTCTGATTGGTAAAGCATTTATCAAACTGTGGTTTTCATTTTCATTTTTCTTGTGAGGCTACTACCTCTTCTGTTGAAGAACTATGTGTTTCTCCTTGTCTTCATCACTTTTGTTCATTTTTCTCTTAGCCTGCTAATCTTTTCTTTATCAATTTGAAGAAATTGTAGAGATTACCCCCGTTCATTGAATGTTTCCCCAGATTTTGTCTTATGACTTTGTTTATGGTGAGTTTGACCAAACTTAACTTGTTATGTTTAAATAAGATTTCTCAATCTGCTACAAACTTGGTTTTAAAAGGACCTTCTCCATCCCATGTTTAAAGAATTTGTTCAGGTTTTGTTATCATTGTGCAATGTATTTAAGTATTGAATAGTTCATTCAAACAATGAATTGCAAATATATTTTTGCAAATAGTTTAATCTTTTATTGGTAATTCTGAATTAAATATCAAGTATTAAATTGATGTTTATCAATTGTATCTTCGCGCCCTTATATTTTTATTTTTGTATTTCAGCCCTGGTACCTGACAGTGTAAAGAAGGAACTTCTACAAAGAATAAGAACATTCCTTGCGCAGCATGCCAGCCTTTAAGATTGAATTAGATTGTGTTGTTTTGTGGTTTTATTTCTGAAAGTAAAACTTGACATAAATTAGGAATCATTTTCCAAAATAAAATCCTTTTTTGTATAATGGTATACATTTTTCAGTAATGATGTATACATTGTATTGATTTTTTTCCCTAAATGTGTTATTTTAATAAATATCTCATGAATGAGTTTGAAGTTTCCTTGGATTTTGGAATAAATGGGACTTTATTAACAATTCACCAAATTTGTTGAGAAAGAAGTCAGCAATTAATATAGTTTAAGTGTTAAGTATGTGCAAATCTCTGTGCTAACAACCAAGGAGAAATAAGCAGCTGCTTCTGATTGTCTGGATGTGGTGTGTTCCTTTTTTAATCCCTTTAATATTTTATATGTCCCATCTTGTATTACAGTTTTCTTATTTCTTGTTATAAACTCTGAGGATTAGGACTGGGTCTTACTCATCTTTATGTGCCTTCCTTATTCCTCAAAGAATTTACCATCCTATTGGAAGAGAGAACATGCAAACTGGCTCCATACCAAGCTCCTCTCACATACTCATCTCAGCTGAACTTTGAAAGCAGAAACTAAATTGCATCCCCACATACTAAGGTCAAGAAAGAACTTAATGGGAAGTAATCTCCACCCGTAGCTTTACTCTGACATCAAGATTGCCAAATCCGATGGACTCTCGTGTATTCTCATGTGACCTCTGCTGGAAAATGAGAATGTTGAGCATCCTGCCACTTGGAACTTTATTCCCACTCCTCAGATTGTTTCTTCCTACTACTGGAAGTTCCTTCTGTTTCTTGTGGAGTACCTTTTGTTGTATGGAACTTTAAATAATGGTGTTTCTTCCTCCTGGGCTCTCTGCCTGACAATATACTTTTCCTGAGCAAATCCTTAAAAATGGGTCGGATCATGGCTTCAAACATTAACAGGTTGATAATGGTAAATGCGTCTCCATATCTGACTTCAACCCAGCCTCCAGATCCATATACCCAACTGCTATGGATCAGCTTTCATGGATGTTCCATAAACACCTCAAACTGATCATACCTAAGATAGTGACTTTTTTCCTTCCTGTAACTGCCCTACTGTATTCCTTATCTCTGTGAATGGTACCTCCTAGATATACAGATAATCTGAGGCTTGTTAAAATGTTGATTCTGAAGGGTAAGGTGTGTAACACAAGATTCTGTATCTCCAAGAAGTTCCAAATTTAACACACTGAGTGAGGACCACTTTTGAGTATAGAAATGCTGTAAATTGTCCACTCCCTGCCCTCTTAACTGCCTTAGTTCAAGCCCACATTATTATAGTAAGGTTCTGATATTTACTTGCTCCAGATGCTCCATGCCTCCAATATCCCACACTATTGCCTAAGTGTCCTTACTCAGATTCAAACCTGGCCATTTTATTTCCCTGCTTGAAATTTCTCAATGGTTCTTCCTAGTTTTTCATGGTACATTCAAACTCATCCATAGCACCTAGACCTTTTTTGATCTGACCTTAACTTATTAAGTTAAAGAATCTCTAAAAATACCAAGTTGTATCATCCCTAAATACTTAGAAAACCCAGCAAACTAGAAAGCCCTTCTATTTATTTCATTCTCACTTGACTCAGCTTTTTGTGGCTCAAACATTCCTCTAGTTTGATTCTCCATCACTACAAGAGGCACCTGTACATAGTTTCTCTTCTACACTGTGGTTCTTGAACTTTTGCATGCATCACCTGGAGGGGAGGAAAAGTGACTTTTTTGACTTTGTGTGATACTTGTGGATGAATGGACAAGGGGAAATTAAATGGATGAACGTTACAGGAACACAAAGATAACACAATTGGGTATAGTTGAGGAAAGATTTCACATTGATTTTCGGTTCACTGTTCCAGAGATAGCAATTTTATCTTTCTGATGAGTTTATATTTTAAGGTAGTTTTTGAACCAACTGAACTTTAAAGTTCTGACTCTTGAGACATGCACACGTACAATCACAAGGCTACGCAAGAGTTTTTTGTTTCACTTCATTTCTTAGAAAGTTATGATCTAAAGAAATGATAGTTATCATTTTGCTACCCATTATCAAAAAGGAAATAATTTTCAAAGGTATTTAGAAAATGTTAAAAATGGTGGGTAGTTATTTCATAATACTGTATATGGAAGCTAAATTGCTATAGAGTTACTATTTTACTAGCTTAATAGAAAAAAGGTTTTATGAAATTATTTTGAAATGGAACAAAGAAATAGTTGAACTAAAATACTTAATTGAAAGTACTAAAGAGCATACATAGCTTTAAAATGATAAAACCACATCTGAAACGTTATAATGCAATGTTACTTCAATATTTTTCATGATAGTGCCAAAAACTTCCCACCTCTAGTTTGACATCTTACAAATGTCTTGTAGTTTGCATCTAGAACCATTGATATATTTCAAATAAACCAACTTTGTGAACATCTTGACTCACATCATTGATTTATGTAAACTAGGAATATATTCTTGAAAAATCTTGCCAATTTAATGCTCAATGTTGAAAATGCAATATATTACTGTTACATGACTGCACTGGGTGAGTAAAATACTAATTAGGATTATTATAAGCTCTTTTATAGGATTAAAGAAGATCCAACTAAATTATTTATGTAATGGCTTTGCTTTGGCATTGCTAGTGTGTCATTTGGTTGAGCAGTGCCAAGCCAGGCCTGGTGATGCTAGACATTGGTAATTCTATATGGTACTTTTCATAACTTGATATAAGGCTCCATCTAACTCAAGAGAATTGTGACAGCTGCTCAGTAGCTGATGTTGGAAATGATCCAATGAGTGTGTGTGTTTTAACCCTTCTTCTAAATAGCAATCTTGTATTACTCAGTGACTTCATAAAACCCTTCATATTTACCATTAGAAACCACAAAGTCATTGGACGAATTACCCAGAAAACAGAGGTGAAATCAGACAATTGATTTCTAGTATCACCTGTGATACTGAATTATCAGGTAAGACTGACTGCTTGTCCAGTTTCCTCATCTGCATAATATTGTAGACCTGATAATGTTGACCTTGAAAAAACTAATTTTTAAAACTGTAAGTAGTATTAATAGGGCAATCATAAAAAGCAATCTGAATAATTTTAAAAAAGCAGTATAGATTCATGTCACTCCTAGGAAAAATTATAGAAATGTTCAATTAGTTACTATGTGATTTTTAGATTTATATAGATTAGTTACAATTTTGTTTTTAAAAATACTACCATTATTTTTCCGGAGTTCCTTGGTAATATTAATTGCCATGAGAATACCTCCAGAGATAAAGATTACCAACATACAATTTGAACAGCATAAATATCATTGAAATAGCTTTTAACAGGGAGGGCTGAAAAGCGTTCATTGTATGAAATGCTCTATGATACAGACTGTATCCTATTTATCTTTTGATACAGTGCCTAACAGTAAATTCTTGATAAATTCTTTCAAAGGAATGAGTAAATAAATGGCAATAGAGAAAATTTTGATATGCCACTCACTTTATTTTGAACTTCAAATTGGATTTAGTGTTTTTAGTTATTTTTTCAGCCACCAGAGGGCACCTGAAGGTTGTATTTTGGGCCTTCTCTGGTCTCAAAACTGCAATGCATTATTTCAGTAGCTACCATTCCAATTCAGGCCACCAGTTTTTTCAAGATGTAAGTGATACTGAATTAAAACTTAATGTGAGGACCTCAAAATACGCTTTTTGTATAAATTAAGATCAAACTACAGCGAGATGTAAAAAACCAGTACATTCTTAGTAAAAAGCAAAAGAAAAGAATTTCCAGTGTCTATTCTCATTATTATTTTCACTCACAGAGAGTCCTTGTAAAAGGGATTATATTCATATTTTCTTTTTTAATGTCATTTTATTTTCTTATAAAATATAAATAGAACATTCTGTAGTGGCAAAACTCTGTAGACATTTGATAAATCGTGGCGTATATTGACAATGGCGAAGAAAGCCAAAGAATGAAGGCGATAGAATCTGCACTTGTGATTCGATGCTGCTTTCAAAGCAGTGGTGAGTAAAAGGGCAGGTGCCAGTATTTAGCACATTCATAAACACTTATGCTTTATGCCCATTATGAGAAGAGCTAAGTGATAATAAATAGCAAATACTGTATTCCTTCTTATTCTAAAATTGTTGAGGACACACCTTTGAGAATTTATCCTTCCAAGACAGCTCCTTATATCAAAGTTGAGATTTTGATGGGGCAAGGGGCACAAGGTAGAGTCATTAAAACAGACATGTCCATTGAACTGCAACCTGTCTGACGTGCTGCTGATTTGCAGGGGGGTGGGGGGATATATTGTGTGATTTGAGGAGCAGTTTGGCTAATATAGCATATAAGTGCTCTGATTCTCTTCTCATTTCTACCATTAATGTGCTTAATGACTTCATTAGTCACTTAAATGTTCTGCATGACAGTTGCCCTATCAACAACACATCTCTCTGCTAGGGCTTCTGGGAGTATAAAGCAAGAGAAACCTGAATTACCCCTCTCATCTACTTAGAAGGTGTGACATAAAGTCAAAGTTATGGAAAAGAACTCTACAACTCTCTCTCTGTCTCTCTCACACGCGCGCGCGCGCACACACGCACTATTCTTGTCTCCTAGCAATGGTGCTCATAAAACAGCTCTGTGTCTGGACTCCACCTCCTGTGCATAAACATGGGGCTTCAGCAGACTTATAGTGAGAAAGAACATATTTATTCACTATCAGTTGCCTTTCCTATGTTTCTGATCCAATTCTTTCACTTTATAGAGACATTGTAGAGATTCTGAGTCAACTTGATTTGATGGTTTGACCTTTTCTTCCTTTTTCTAGTCACATGTAGTTCTGCTTAAATCAAACCTCCCCACGAGCTTACCCTCTGCTGGCATCCGATCACCAGAATTTTGCAGAATTCCACGCCCCTTCTGAGATGTCCCATTCTAAAGTGCCAACTACAACATTCTGACAAATAATTGTCATAGATCTTCAAAAAATGTTAATGGAATCAAAGATGCAAAGCAACAGGAAAAGGAAAATAGCAAAGGTCAGGAGTGTTCTTTGTTCAAAGAGAATAAAAAAGCACTGGTATTTAAAGCAATAGATAAATGAACAAAACACAACTATGAGCAACATTATTAAGACAACTGGAAAATTTTAACCATGGACTAACATCTGTGTTT